ACTCCAATAAGCACAATTTGCATCTTAACTGGTTATAGAATTTGTTTTAGAAAAAAGCCAATATTCTGAAAAAAAATGCTTTTCAAAGCAGACTTTGTATCAAAATGCAAGTTCCACTTATCATGTAGATTTCCCCAACCCCATGTATAAAAGCAAGTTACATTTGAAAGAAAAGAACAACAGTAGACAAAAAAAAGTAAAAATTACTTACAGTACCTTACAGAGGTTAGCTTCTGGCTGCATAGTCAAGGGTGACAGCTCTGGCCTTTTTTCCACAATCCTGGGAAACCGGTGAAGTATTGCAAGAAGTAGCTCTAGCACTGTGCTGGAGCATCTTCTTATGGGATCCTCAGTTACCTAGAAACCTAGGAAAGGCCCAGTGACATAACCTTCTAGGTGAGCTTGCTGGAAGTCAGAGTTTAAGGCAGGATTGGAATGGTAATCTTTGTTCTGAGGGCAAACACAGTCAAGGAGTTCTTTCATGGTAGAAGATTTCTGTGAGTTAAGGAAATTGTACCACATAAGGTGTGCCATGGTGCAGTGTCAATACTGGAGGGAAGAGTGGTCTGCTCTGGGTAACACCACTTAGACCACATAACCACATAACCGTCCTTTCACTTCTTCCATTAAATCATTCCATGCAATAATTGCCTTTTGTGTCACTTGCCTCTCCTGGTAGAATGTAAGATCTCACAAGCAGGGCCCTCCTAACCCTCCTGTATTGAAATTGGATTGGATTGTCTACCTCCATTTTGTAGAGCGCTGTGCAAACTGTTGGTGCCAAATAAATCCTGTATATTAATAATACAAAATAGGGGGTGCTCTGGTGTGGTTGCCAGCAACATGCAGGATGGCAGTGTTGTTCTGGGTGATGGAACTCTCTCTGCATTCCACCACATGGCACTGAAAAAAGCCAGGATTGTCAGGCGGAGTGACATCTGGGCGACAGAAGAAGTATAATCCCGATTGGTGGAGAGAGAGAGAGATAATAGTGTGGGAGCATGTAAAGCAATGAGTACCACGGTGTTCAGCATCACTGAACACCAATACTGGTGGGGGGTCATTGTATTGTTTCAGTCAGACACTGTCCACCAATGCAAGGTGGCGTTATTGTTACAGCCTGCCACTGTTCACCAATGCTGGGGGGTTGTTTTTATAGTCTGCCACTGACCACCAATGCTGGGGTTTAATGTTACTACCAGGAACGACTATGAAGGGGCATTATTGCAGCCATTAACACCAGTGCTGGGGGTTGTAATTGCAGCCATTTACAACAATGCTGGGGGTTACTATTACTGGCACCAATGATTGGGCTTATTTTACTCCGAGACTAAATGCCACATACTGAGAAGCAACACCCTCTTTATTAGCCACACCTCCAGGTGTTATGCGTGTTTGCTTCTAGATCCCTTTATCATATTCCTCCAGTTCAAATGTTGACAACTATGCAGGAGATAATGTCTCTGAGCTGCTGCACATCAGGTGGATTGGTATGTTAAGGTCAATCTCTCTGCATAAAGTTTCAATTGTGCTTACAACTGCTGCTGTCCATAATCTACCGGTCCATTCTACTCCCACCCCCAGCATGCATGGCATTTCATTTTCATAAGTATCATTGAAAATAATTTTGGTTAAAAAATGATCTGCCCTGGGTGCCAGATATGCCACTGTCATCCTGCCTAATTAAATGGTATGCATGGTGAAAGGTAGGTGTTCCTAATGGACATGGTTTAATGTGACACACACTCCTTTTAGCTTTGACTTCCT